CTCCTCACAAAACGAAATTCATTTCAAACACAAATTTGATATGAACAGAGTGGAAATTATTAGCAACACCAAAATAACAGCAAAGCTAATGTTTTCTGTTAGTTTAAGCACAAATGAAGAAAAGTAAAACCAAACTTTGTGGCAATAATTAAGACCAAACTGAACATGGTGTGTGTTTATGATGCATGTCAGCAATGTTGTTTTGGTGGGGGCGGGGTGTGGTGGAGGTGGGGCTTAGGTAGACGATATTATCGGATATCACAATATTTTTAAAGGCGATTATCGATAAGATATTTTTGACATATCGCCCAGCCCTGATCTACGCAAAGGTTGAAGCAGTAAAATAACATACACATATTGTGTGGCATGTATGCTCTCACACTTTGCTTCTATATTAGAACACTTGTTTATCTTCCCAAAATAACAAAATATGACGGTCTCATAACGGACTAGAAGCGTTGTGTCCTGTCGCACCTAGGACAACTCAAAGGCATCACACACCAGAAATTCTAATTCAAGCGGCGGTCAAAAACAGTTTATTTCATCACCAACTAGGCAGAAGTTCACTTCAAGGATGAACAAATTGACACATGAGTTTAAATTCCACGTTTCTGATTTGTTTCTGTTTCTGTTGGCTGCATGAACATATTTGCTTTTTCATATCACTAGCTTTAAATCTTCAACATCGCTAACTTAATGGATGCATAATAGTGACCACCAGGCATAAACTAATGCAAATGCATGGTAACAATCAACAATCATCGGACATGCTTGTGTTTTGGTCACATTGTTTTAACCGCTTGAGGTACAGCTAATGTTTGCGTCCTCTCAGCCTTGTTGGCAAACATACTGCTGTTTTTCTTTGCTAATGCAGTCAACAAACTAATTACTTTATTATGATATGAAAACATGGACCGTAGTGTACAGTATACATACAATTTCGTTGTCAATATTCGGTGTCAAAACAAACAGCAGGAGGCATCAGTGATTCACCTCTAGAGGCCGCTCTTATACTGTATAACGAGAGCAGAGTTTCTTAACCACTCCAGCAATGGACGCAACTGGGAAAAACTTTGGATTTACACTTGGATTTGGATAGGGCTGGGTATCGTTCAAAAATTTTCGATACTGATACCTTGACTTCGATACCGGTTCCTGAACGATACTTTTTTCGATACCAATTTTATGAAATCAATTTTAACAAGATTACATTATCTAACAAAAAAACATTGGTTTTATTTTTCAGCTTGTTGATGTTACTCAAAGACTCATCTCCCGAGCCATTGCACAAATGAACAGAATGTAACCAATACAATAAATCAGTGCAAAATAGTTTTAATAAAGCTCAAATAGTCTTCAGTTTACACATCTGTTAGGCTACATTTACACTAGTAAGTGTTCGTTTTAAAACGCATAGCTCAGACAGAATCATGATTTCTATTTATTTTCCACTGATTTACTGATGAGCATTAGCAGCTTCCGGCGCTGTCTGCTTGTGTTCTCTCTTCCATGATCACTGCTCTGACTCAGAGGTAATAACATATTTAATTTCAGCAACATTACATGGCCAAAACACACATTAGATGACAGGGCCGGATTTACCTATTTTCCACACAGCTCCCGCGCCACTCTCCATTGGAAATGAATGATTTCTGTCGCTTGTCTGTCACTTGTCGTTTGTCGGAGATAGTGGAAAGCCGACTTGAAACGCAGTGGAAACGCCAGTACGATGAGGATAGTTTTCATTTTAGAACATAAACGCACCAGTGTAAATGTAGCCTTACATCTAAGGGGGCTGGGACGCATTCACACTACAGCATCACGTGTGCGCCACTCTCTGGGTGTGTTCGACTTGACGCGGACTGACTGTGCAGACCGATCGGTGTATTACAGTACCATGAGAGCTACACACGTACGCAACCCAGGCAACGGTTAGTTCTGTGAAACAAAGCAAAACCAATGTTACACCGTGTCTACACCGAACGCGAGTGGCGCGGCATGACAAAATACTATGGAACTCATTATAATCAGTGATGCTGTCTACACCATAGATATACAGTATATACTTATCTATTGTCTACACTGGATGTAGCGCGGCACGACATGACAAATCCCCGGCAGAAAACCGCTGCTACTTTCTATTTATGACGTATTGACATATTTCTAATGATTTTCAACGGTCGCTGTGACGCATCCAGTGTACTAGACAAGACTTTAGCTGTTGCGGCGCAGACACGGTGTTACTCACTTATCGAGAAGAAACAGAGCAACCTCGGCGTCCGATCGCAGGCCTTCCGCTCCTTGAGTTCTCTCCAGCGCTGGAAAGCTGATCCGATATTTACACGGGTCCTACTTCTTGCCTTATTGCCTTAAGCCTTCTTTTGTTCCGCAGATGTTTTCCTCTTTTGTTTTTTTATCTGCCATCTCTATCTTTCTGTCGCTCGGCTCGCAAATGTGAGCACTGAACGCTCTCTCCTCCACATCATGAGTAGACACGCCCCTTACTGCTGATTGGCTACAAGTTTGTTTTGCTAGTCGGCCCGAATAAGTTTTCTAAAGCGTTTTTGAAAAATCGCTTATTCCACCTTTAAGTCATTTAGTGTTATTGTAAAAAAATAAATAAAATACTACTACTAATTCTACTACTAATAATATAGAATGCTAAGGTCTGATAAGCGGCTGGGCTCATGAATATTAATCACATTGTCTTCGCTAGAACTCCTGTGCTTATAGGAAACGTGGATGGTATTAAGTGAGCGCTAGTTAATTATATTGCCATTCACATGTTATTCCTGGCCACTACTGAAGGAACCAGCCAGCAGCCTGGCTTGGTTCCAACTGGACCACAAGACATAATGATAATGGTAGACCATTTTACCGTTTACAGTGAGTGGCAGTGGAGCTGTACACACCACGAGTGCTCAGGGTCGTCATGATAATGATCGTTGGGGCTATATCTTCTAATATTGTTATCTAGAGCCAAGTATGCTTTAGAGGATTGAGTTGAACATGCAGGAGGTACAATTTAAGCACTGCTGAAGAGATGCAGGCAGGTTGTTTGTTTGTAACGGGCTCTGCTCTCCGTCTGACTGCGCTGATTTATGGGGTGCTTCAAATGCACCTTTTTCCTCATGTCAGTCCTGGTGCCAGTGAGAGGTGGGAGGAACTGAACAAGTAGGTCAGGCAGATAGACATGAATAGCTGATTACATCACAGAGAGCCATACACTGAGCTGCTTTTGCCAGGCCACTGGACATTAGTAATTACTCACCTAATAAACTAGTTTAGTTCTTTTTCTGTGTGAATTGATTGTGGAATATCTGGATGTGGTTCTGTTTGTAGCCCATTTTTGTGTGGTGTATCTTGTATGTCTTGTGCTTTTAGACCAACACATCAATAATACTCAAATGTGAGTCAGTAGAGCATCAGAATTACCCATAATCTTCTCTAAACACCCTGTTGATTTGCATAGGCTATGTTTGGAATGGCATAATAATGTACTATATAACCTACTATCTCTGCAGTATATACTGTACACAATTTTTGTATGCATAGAATAATCCACTGCATTGGAAAAATATGCATTATACAACAAAGCATACTGTATGGAATCCCACAATGCATTGCGCTTGACTTGACTGCTTTATGCAATATTGCATTCCAAATGAAAAATAATTAGGCCTATTTATTTCCATGTTATGATCATGTGACAACAATGACAACTTGTTACCTTTTATTATTTAAAAAAAGAAAAGGTTTGTATACTGCATAATATTCGTTATGTGATAATCAAGTGTTCCGTTCCATCTTGAACTGAGGCATGAATTAAACTGGTGCGAAAAATTTGCATATTGCATTGCATAAAACATTTGCAAATAAAGCACAGATTTCAGTTCCATCCCACGTAATAAATTACTTCAGGAGTTAATTCTCTGAACAATTCAGTGAGGTATAATGATATACAACCAAATCATTTTGATCACAGACGTTGGCATTTCAGAATGACTAAAATGGTATTTTATAGCACTATGAGATTGGTCTGCTTGTTAGGCGAGTTATCAAATCACATGATCTACCAGGGCTGCACGATAATGGTTAAATGGTTAATCACGATTATTATACTCAAAAAATATAAGTCAAGAGAATGTTTGCATGCATGGATTGCTCACAGATCTAATCATGTGAAAGAAAACCGACTGGCTGTTTTACACTTAACTGTAGCAAAACTTCTCAACTTTTTGCCGGCATTTTCAGCTCATCAGTGTTTTTTATGTAATATGAAGATGCACGTGGTTGCCAGGTTGAGAAGACTGATTGAACAACTGGGAGCAAATGTATGGGTTTAGGAGAAACGTTCTGACTGGGTGGATTTATATTGTTCATATCTGGCAACCACAACCATAAAAGTTTGTGGAGGTTTGTTAACAATGCAATATAATGCAAATGTCAAAATAAAATGGAATGTTTTTAAGATAAATAACCAGCAGGTAAATATCACAGATGCAAATTGAATAATTCAAGAGAAGCTGAAATTGTGATCCCGATTAAAATATGATTTCTCCTGCCGTCACATGAGCTGTTGAGGCGAAGTCATATGATTTTTTTACTTTTTTTTGCACATCCAGTAATTTATTCTATAAATGTGTTTTTGTCACAGTTTATGCATATGTCTTCCTATTGAATAAAAAATGATCTGCGTCAACTGAGTGCATAAGGTATTTTTATGCACATCTTATGATGTTAGCATTTCCATCAAGCGTTTTTTTTTTATACGATATGCCTAAATAAATATTTGATTATTTGATAATTTGATACTGTACATTACACTTTTGTGTACACGTTTACTCTTTGTGATTTAAAAGTCACATGTAATTACATTTATCATTTAATTTCTGTGATTTCATGTATAATTACTAGCACTAGTCCTGATTGTGCTGTGATTGTGCATGACTTTTTCAAACTGCAGAAGCAATTCATTGGTGTTTCTTGCTCTGTTGCAGCAATTTTTCAATTTGACTAAGCTGAGAAAACTTGGCCTAAGTGACAATGAGATCCAGCGGCTGCCGGGGGATATAGCCAACTTCAACCAGCTCGTAGAGCTAGACATCTCTCGAAATGGTAAGAAGCCCTTTGCTTTATCAGACCACTGTTTAATTACTGTACTACGTGTCTGTGGAAAAACTTTGGCCTCCCGTGTCTCGCCCTTCCCACACGCTTCCAGCATACGCCCTGCATATTTCAGCAGCTGGGTTTCTGTGCTCAGCAATTACATACAACCTTTCAGCATCATCCACAGTAATTCCCAGCCTGGATCGCAGCGTCTCCACGCCCAAAATTCACTTCTCGTTTCAGCTAGTTTTACCTTTTTTGATCAAGCAGCAGTTTTAAAATGAGACTTCATGGTTTGTGGTGTCATGTGATTTTAAATGACCTTTTGTTAAAGCTATATTTCAAGAAAAAATATAATTCTACCCCTATTTACTCTCCAGCATGTCTTTCTAAACCTGTATGACTTTATTTATTCTGCTATGCAGCATAGATAATATTTTGAGATTTTTGTCCATACATTTAAAGTCAGTGGGGTTGAATGTTGTGTGGACTCCAGCGTTCCTTATTTTATTTTATTTATTTATTTTTTTTGTTATATTGAAAAAAACAAAAGTACTTTACAGTCAGGTTTGCGAAGCGATGAGGGTGAATAAATGTCTTGAATTTTCATTCTTGGGTGCTCTTTTGTTGATTTTGATTGCTTCCATTGTCCTCATTTGTAAGTCACTTTGGATAAATGACTAAATGTAATTAATGTAATGTAACTATTCCTTTTTAAGAATGGTTTATGCTCTTTGTGTGTTTACACACTGTCTTGCTGTGGAAGTTCCTCCCTTATAAATTGACATTGTAGTTGAACTCTGATCTCTCTTAGGTATAGTACCATTTTTATGGCCGACACATAAATGATTGAAATACTGGCTTTGTTCCAAACCCCTGTAAGCTACCTTGCTGTCTCTGTATCCTGTAAGGAAGCATCTGAAATGGAACCTGTAAAGATTTACGGCTCTTTTCGCAGTCATGTTCTACAGTACAAGTAAAAATTTCATTCAATTTCTCCATAGGGCATTGGTCTCAATCTCAATTCCTGGTGGGCCACCGCTCTGCACAGTTTAGCTCCAACCCTAATCAAGCACACCTGATCCAGCTAATCAAGCTCTTCGGGATCACTAGAAACTTCCAAGCAGGTGTGAGTTGGGGCTAAACTCTGCAGAGCTGTGGCTCTCCAGGAATTGAGTTCGAGACCAATGCCCTATGGGGAAATTGATTTAGAACATTAACTTAACTAAGACAAACCTACAGTGAGCTACGAGGTTGTTAATCAGTGGTATATGCTTTTGTTGAAACCATCAGCCAGCATTACGTCAACTCATTTTTAAACGACTCATGTTTAACGGCGGAATTCCTGGTGGAAAAACTACATTACCCAGAAATGTTCAGCAGTCAGAGACTCGCGATAAGGAAATTGCGGCAGAAGAACACTTAAGTGGCCTGACCACTCCAGTGAAGCAATGCAAATTTCCCAATGCTCCCAGACTATGTTAGACATATTTAAATTACGTTGCCTTTTTAAAAGTCCCTATGGGAAAAATGAATGGGATAAATACTTCCGGAACCAAGGCCTCTGAAAAAGTGGGTGAATATACTGTCACACTCTATAGCACTCCTCACTGGAAGGATACGCAACTCACAGCTGCTTCCAGCTGAGTGTTGCATTAACATTAAGCTTACAATGCAGTGCTCTACTAGTATAAAACTGTATAGCACTCTCAGATGCTGAGTAAGATAGGAAATAGTTTTATTGACAAAAAGATTTTATTGTCGTTTCATTATTGAATAATTGACCTATTGGTAAGCCCCTCCCCTCGATTGCAGATGAGCCAATAGCAGTTGAGTATCAGTTTGACATCTTTAGGTTTCAGCGCCATAGAGAAACATTGGAAGATCCGAAGCGCTCATCGGTTTGATGGTGTTTGTGCTACAAAAAATGGTAAAACGATGTGCCCTGGGGTACTTGTAACACTGATTCCATCTATCCTGAGAGGATGGGCAATAGAATTTATTTTATTCCATTTCCTAAGCCCAAACAAGACGGAGAAATCTTAATTTTTCTGGTTGTCATACACTTAAGTTACAATTTTCATCTGCTCGAGCAAACGTTAATGTCATCTTGTGCTTCAGCAAGGTATCTCTGGCTAAAACTAGCTAATGTCAAAGTTTGTGAGTCTGCGCTAACGTACAAACCGGAATAGCTAACTGTGTAGGACAAAAACACATAAACGAAGGTCTACATTTCAGTGCCTCTCCATATTAAACTGGGTAAATGTAAATGAATTTAATCGTATCCTGTGATACATAGTGTTGATCCTGCATGTTGTCATCTGCGATCATGACGACCGTAAAAATCTTTTATAGATCCCTCCATGGCATATTTAAGACCCACTTGAATGCTCCTCAACAAGAGGTGGTCCTTCTGTGTCCAAGATTTATCAAAAACATCTTGGGACAGCTGTCATTGTAAAACCGTTAGCAACTCCGTTTGTTTGTCCGAGTTAGCGACAGTAACTAAGGGGGGTGGGGCTTACCGATAGGTAATTATAAGTAATGAGCTTGCATGTTTCAGTAAAGGATGCATGCTGTGCTGACTTAGAATGTGGTCAAAGGAAGGCTTCTTAAAAGCATCTCTGCCCTAATGTTGGAAGTTTACCAGTAATTCCTTAAATCCTCTCTAGGTTTTGGTACAAGGCCTTTGTTTTGAATAAAGCAAGGGTTTTATTGTTGTAAGTGGATTAAATCTGTTTCCTCTTTTTTTTTTTCTTCTTCTTTTTTTCTCACAGACATTATGGAACTCCCTGAAAGCATTTCATATTGTAAAACCCTCCAAGTAGCAGATTTTAGTGGAAATCCTTTGACAAGGTAATTGTGCATTTCAGCTTTTGTGTGATATTCTGATCCTGTATGATTGCTGACATGTTTTACAAAGCTCAATGTGTGGTGTCAGTTCATGAAGAAATGCCGGAAAACTTAAGTAAAATACTTACAAAAATGCTGCAGTTTATTACAAGATTTTATGTTATGTTCGAGTTCAGTTTTGCTGTTGTTACCCTAAGTGAATAAAAAATAATGCTAGTTTCAGTAACACTTTAGTATAGAAGCCAATTCTCACTATTAACTAGTTGCTTATTTGTATGCCTATTATTAACATATTGGCTGTGTATTAGTGTGCATATTCTGCATGACCATATTCAGAGGCGGACTTAACCATTTAGGCAAAGGTAGGCGACCGCCTTGGGCCCCCAAAAGCCAAGGGCCCCCTAAAATGCTTTTTAAATGCGAGATGCGCGTTCAGTGCGGACGCGCAAGTGGTTGCTCTGGTGTTCATTACCACGACAACTGTCTGTGCGTCCACGTTGAACGTGCTTCTTAGCAAAAGTAGGGCGATGTAGAAAATGGGGACCGAATCGATTCATAAAAACGGAATTTACTGTAACGCGGAATGTGACGGAATGAACGGCGCAGACGCGCGTTTCGTTTGCTAGTTTGCTATTTAAGCACCTGCAACGCTCGCGGTTGTCGTCTGTAGTAGCTAAATAGTATTTTTGCCATTTAATATTCACATACACTAGACCATATCGCGGTTTGATTGAAGTGTACTGACTTGCATTTGATTTATTAATTCAATATTTGACGAATTCCGTGACATTGCTCGTTACACAGTAAACTTCTGTTGTGTAGCATGTTGAATGTACAAAAATTAAAGGGTTTGTTTAATTTTCATTGGAATAAAAGATATATGAATGTTTTCGCTTTCATTTGATTACCAGAAAAATGAAAATACACAACACAGAATTTAGTAAAATAAGTAAATAAAATTAAAATTTCACCCTATTATTGTATACAAATTAATAAATTGTTGTTTTTATGAATTCAATTAATTAGATATGTTTTTGATTAAACCATTAAAATG